GTCGAGATCGAGCACAAGGTGAAGCTCCACGAGCGCGCCAAGAAGGAGACGCCCAACTTCTCGCACCGCCCCGCGAACTGGGCCCGCATGCAGAGCGACGTCACGCCCATCCACATGGCCAACCTCCCCGGCGAGCAGTTCCGCCGCTCCATCATCGAGAGCGACGTGTAGCTGCGTTAGGGGGTGTGCTTCAAGCTCGACCTCAAGACGAGTCGTTGTCCCGGTCGAGCAGCTCGACAGCTGTTAGGGCACCACCGGCTACGGCTGCGAATGAGCCGTCGTTGAACAAGCACATCTATGAAGCAATGCTGCAGTAATCCGTAGCTAAGAGACGGTCTCTCGTGCGAGCATTTCAGCGGCCGATGGTGGAATCTCCACCTTAGAGGGCCCCGCGCTCCTCGAATATGCAGCGACGTGCAACGATCCCAGTGGCTTTGAGGTCCGCAAACATGTGGGTGAGGCACATGAAAAGACGCGACATCCGGACGATTGCGAGGCGACGCAAACGGGCAGCCCCAGGGGGTGGAATGAGGCGCGGCAGCTTCCCCCGACCCGATTTTCGGTCCCCTTCGAGTCACAGAGCGTCGGGAATCGTTCGTCATGGGGGCGACCAGATGCCCTCGCGGCAGCTCTTCGGCTCGAGTGGATTTGATCGAGATCACCTCACCGCCTCCGGGAGGCGTGCGGCGCCGCGGGTGACACGGTGCTCACCGCGCAATGCATGAGGCGTTTGGTGTGACCACACCCGGACAGTCCCCTCGGGAGAGACATCCCAGGGGGTGTTTCTTCGAAGTTGGTCACACCAAACGCCCCCTGGAACTAAGTTGGGCCCCTCGTCGGTCGCCCCCCACCGTTAACGGCCGTTCTCGTCATCCACGGGCTGCCCCGACGCGAACTAAGTTGCTCGCCTTCGACCGATGGTCTTTCCCGAGCGACTCGCAGCCGGGCCCAAGGCGCGACATGGTCCACAGACCGAGCGCCGCGCCAAGACATGGAACCGCTGCATCGCGCGTCCGAGCCCGGAGCGAGGCAAAGCCGTGACGTCAAAACTGCACGGCTTCGCTGCTCTTTGAACCGGTTAACTTTAGCTTAGCCGGCAGTGGTGTGTGCTTCAAGCTTGACCTCAATACAAGCTCCTCGAGTTGTGCCTCGGTCGAGCTGCTCGACGCCGCCGTTCGGCGCCGGCGCGGCGGGCAGCGCGAGCATCGGCGCTGGAGTGCGCTTGACCGGAGAGCTCGATCGTGATGAGCGCGCTGTGGCGCCTCCCCGACGGCGTCGCCTCGCAGATCTTGAGGAACCTGGACGGCAAAAGCCTCGTGCGCAGCGGTCGGAGTTGTCGACGGCTGCGCCAGCTCACGCACGACGGCGGCGACGCGCCGGCGCCGGCGCTGTCGCTCGCGGGCCAGACCTGGAAGGCGCTCTGCGACGCGCGCGGCTGGCGCCAGCCGGGGACGCGCACGCGCGGCTGGGTGCCCTGGAGCCGCGTCTACCGCGGCGGCGTCTGCATCGAGTGCGCCGAGCCGGGCGGCGTGACGATCAACGACCCGTCGAACTCGCTCGGCTTCGCGTGGGGCCGCTACGCGCTCTGCGCGCGGTGCATCAAGCCGTCGGCGGCGCTCTGGCGGCTGAAGGACCGGCCGGAGATCGCGGGCTCGGAGACGAAGCTCAACCACCTGCTCTTCCGTATCGCGACGGTGCGGCGCGAGCTCGGCTACGCGCCCGCGTCGCCGGGCAAGCGGAAGCGGCGGCGCTAGATTAATCGCGCGTTCGAGCAACTCAATAGTCGACAGTGCCTTCCTTAAAGTTGCAGCGCGCGCACGAGAAGCGAGAGGCACCACCGACAACCGCGGTTGCACCAAAAGAAAGCGGTCTTTAGACGGG